GATGTACACACGGGCGGACGAACGAACGCTTCGCTGCACTCACCATCATGGATCCACTCCGTGGATATGCTGTGAAAACCACCAACGCCATCCAGTTATGCTGTTCTCAAGGACATACACACACAAAACCCCATCTATTTCGCAACTTATAACTAGAGGTGGCTACATACTACAACTACAGAGAAGGAAACGACCCACGGCCTAAGAAGCTTCGCCCCTAGAGTGAACATTGACACTGCTGTGTAACACGTCGCATTGTTTCATGCCAGGTACATCGAAATCTGAACGCGCGCTGCGTACTTCTTGAATAAGCAAAACATTTCAATGTTTGTTCTTACATTGCCCAACGTATCCACCGAACACCGTAAAATTCACAGTGTGAGTGGGTGATTTATAAGTGACGAAAACGTGTCTGTAATCAGCCCGTGGTCGTCGCAGAATCAGCGACGTTCAGTCTAGACCTAGACGCATGGCGACCGCCTGCACCCTTCTCCTGTATCCTGCTTCTGTGGCTCGACGGGAGGATTCTTGAAACGGCGTTGCAATGAAAAGCAGTGCTAGTTCCATGAAAGGAAAAAAAAGCAACCCTTTTAATCGAGCGTAGAACGCGGCGCTCTTCCGACTTTGCTTGTTGATCGGGCTGTAACTTTTTTTTTTTTTGTTCGAGTGCTCTCCATACGATACAGCTTGCGAATTTCAAAGTAAGTGAGGGTGGCGATTTGGGCTTGTTGGTATGGTTGCATGATGATGGATGGTAGCGCAGACAACGAACACGGACAAGAGAAGGCACATAGACACAACACAGCGCTAACTTTCAACAACAGTTTATTACACGCAGATCTCCGTGGTGTATGCGATCCACCACGCCAACGTCGCACGTGCGTAGCTCTAAAAACCATCAAATATAACCAACGCGCGTGTTCCAATACTTTACAATTTTATATTTTTCAATCTTTTTTTACTTTTTCTTTCTTCCTTTTATCCCATGTTACCACAACCCTATCGCGAATACATGTAATCAAGTTCCTTATCTGTCAACACCACTGATGGGCTGCTCATCACTGAGCAGCCCATCAGTGGTGTTGACAGATAAGGAACTTGATTACATGTATTCGCGATAGGGTTGTGGTAACATGGGATAAAAGGAAGAAAGAAAAAGTAAAAAAAGATTGAAAAATATAAAATTGTAAAGTATTGGAACACGCGCGTTGGTTATATTTGATGGTTTTTAGAGCTACGCACGTGCGACGTTGGCGTGGTGGATCGCATACACCACGGAGATCTGCGTGTAATAAACTGTTGTTGAAAGTTAGCGCTGTGTTGTGTCTATGTGCCTTCTCTTGTCCGTGTTCGTTGTCTGCGCTACCATCCATCATCATTCAAAGTAAGTTTCCAGAACATCCGGATATCTTACAGAGGCATCGCAATTATAATTGCTCCAATGTGGGCGGCGCAAATCTTCAGCAAGGAAAAAAAAAAAAGCCCATTGCAAAATATATACGCCCAAGCATTGACTTTGCCTCTCGTACACCTTGGCCTGACATTTCTAAATGATCGCGAAGTTATATAATAAAAGCGCAAAACCATTTTTTCGACGCCACATGCAGCATCGTCAACAACGCCGCAGTCTTTTCGACCATACGAAGGAGCGCCGTGGTGCGGAGAAAAGAGCGCGCCACGCCCATTTCTGGAAACACTCTTTCTACGATTGGGACGGCCGAAGAGAAACAACGTTACTAGATACTTTTTTGGAAGAGAAAGGCGCCGCGCGGCCGACATCTTGGAGGCCATGTCGTAAACACGGGATGTCGCTGCGGCCGACGTATGGTAAGCCACCATAGCCGACGTTTTGCCGAACAGGCTGGCTGGTGGGGTCGGAGCGGACAGACGTGAAAAGGGGGGAGGGTAAAACATAGCATGGCTCTGTGTAGCAAGGGGTGGGAAAGTGATGGTGGGGATGAGAAATGTGGGAAATTAAATGGAGAGGAAGGGTAAAAAATGCAAACTGAAGCCAGCTCTCCCTTGACCGGGAATGGTAGTGTTGCCGTGGCGAGAGGCAGGTGAATCACTGCTCCGATCTTTTTACATCGTTCACGTTGATGAAATGAAGGTATTTTTTATTTAAATGCAAAAAAAAAAAACGAGGAAAGTCCCTATTCCGGGACACCTAGCTATGACAACCTCTGCAGCCCGGGCCCGCTGAACGAGCACCCGAGAGACCTCGGAAGCGCCGTCGCGAAGGGTGCCTTCTCACTGCGCTCCATGGGGTACGAATGGACCGTAGGATCGGTGGGAGGGGGAGGGAAGTAGGGAGCGGTGCACGGTGACGCGAAATGTTGTGGGGATAGTGCCACATCCTTAGTGTAACCGCATATTTGCGTGGACGATCTTTGGATGCAATTTGCGACGCTTCGTGCATGCATCGAACGTGGTGAACACAGTTGTCTTCAAGAAACTTTGTGGAAGATCTTGTTTTTTTTCTGTGTGCCTGTGCTTTAAAAAAAGCAGTGTATTAATTACATTGAAAACTCAAAAGTAAACTATACCTCAAATATAACTATTGCATTATTCATCTTTATTGTATTCAACTTGAAACACACTTGTAGAAGAGAAAAAGAAAGACCATGCCAAAATATGCCATTTTCTATTTGCATCGGCTATTGAGTTTCATACGAATTGCCTCTGAATGAGTCCACCCGTTTCAGTATGCACGATCGCGGCTCGTGTTAGCACGCTGCAGTTTGGCTACCCATCGCGTCGTTCCTGTCTGTCTTGCCTCGTGTGTATGCGCTGGTATGAAGTCTTGCCGACAAGTTGAAGTTCGAACCTTTTCGAAGTCTATTTCGTCTTAGGCGAATACGTAAGGGACTCCGTGAGTATCGATGCAGCACCTGGCGAATCTGTTGTTTTTGTTCACCAGCACACAAGCAAGGAGGTTTAGGGAGCGCTGCACGACGCCACCTCTCGGCACGTCATTCACCTGGTCGTCGATTACACATGGTGGCCACTGGTTCAAGGGTGCTCAAGAATTCGGCCACATTTGTTACGCGCTCGCAAACACTGTAATGGGAGAGCCTGCTGAACAGGTGGAAATGCATTAGAGGGACCCTGGAACACTTTTTGAGCATAGTGAGAAAACGCTGTCGATATGTTGCAGAGGCTGCCTGCAACGTGTGAGCCTAAAATTATAGCGCAGCACGCGACCTGAAATTTACAATAAATTCTCTAAGTCAGCTAGAAATGGTTCCCTATTGACTCGACAAGGGATGCTGCAAACCAAGACGATCGCGCTATAATCCCGAAGTCCACGGTCATTAAAGCATCGTCAACTACATCGTTATTGCGGTCGCTGCGAAATGTCGCGACGTGCGCGCGCTGAAGCACAAGCCTCCTCACCTGCCTGCTCTCAACCCCGTTGAAGAACGCCTGATAGCCTCCGTTATAACGTTATAGATGAGGCTATGCCTGATATAGCTTTACGTCTGCCATTTATGAGCGTTAGGCATTTGACTCACGGCAGCGGCCAGTAAGGCATAGATGGGCATGCAGGTGGTTAACGTGCCAATCGGCCTGGCCAAAACTGCAGTTCCGGCCGCTGAACGTGTCCAACAACGCTGCCTTCGACATACACATCATGTACCGGCTTGCTAAAAAGCATTCCTGCCAAGGAACGTCCCGTGTACGTCCGAGCAGGCTCCTCTAACATCATTCACTTTGTGGATATGGCGGCGTTTTCTTTGTTTTTGTTTTCTTTTTGTAGCGCAGTCAGTTTCGTGTGGCCCATCGAGTGCCGTGCTGCGCATGCCCGCGGAGCAGTGACGTCTACGGCGCACAGCTGGCGCGCCAGAGAAGGCCAGGAAGCTCCTGGAGTAACGTGTCACTAGCGGGCTGGTGCCCGACTCGCGTGAGCTTCAGTCCGCCCGTCCATCTGACCGTGCGTCCATGTGTCCGTAGTTAACGCTACGTATATCCTGGCATAGCCGAGCTAAGCCACTGCTATTTTTTTAACAGCGCACGCGCCTTGGCTCTCCTGGAAAATGATGCTATCTATGATGATAACTGAAATTTAAGTCCCGAAACCACGATATGATTATGAGCGACGCCGTAGCGTAGGACTCCGGTGATTTCGACCATACATCGCCAGCATACGGACCTCTAATACTGCGCCTACATCGAAATGTGTCGGTCATGGCCGGAATCGAACCCGCTAGCTTCGGATGAGCAGCCAAACACCATAACCACTGCTCAACCGCGGCGGGCCAGTCTTTCTGTCACTTCTCTCTTCTCCGTCTTCTTGACTCTCTCCTCAGTGGCTCCGGCGTGATCTTCAGTTCCTTGTACAGCTATCAAATGCATGCCTCCCAAAAAAAGCCCAAAGAATGATTTCCTTCACGGCGTTATTGTAGTGCGAAAAAGACACGGACAAGAAAGCGTACACCACAAGCCTCTTGGAAATGATTTCCTGGAAGATTCTGCCGAGGCCGTGCTTCTTGCCGTCGCTTTCGCGGCGCAGGCCGTGCACGTTTCGAACTGCCCGCCGCGCTCGGAACCCGCTAGGGAAGAGTGTCAAGCATAGAGTTTCCTAAATATGGTGTCAGGGAACTGACGGCGACACCTAGGTACCGTGTCGTACGGCCGTGCGCTCTCGTTCTACGCGTTCCCCATCGCAGCGTGCGTCCGAGAAAGTAGCAGCGCGGAGTCTCGAAAACAGCGTTCACGGTAGCCGCAGTTTTTAAGGCTCTGAAATTAGGAGCTTACAAACTACTGCGCCATCTTCACTAAAGTGAAAAAACTAACATATGATAAATATGTCACTTTGAATGAACTATGTTTGGTTGAATGTTGAAGGTAGATAGCAGTAACGTTGGCCATAAGCCAGCACATGCAGCAGAGAGTGTTTGGAAGGTTGAACCATTGGGTTGAGCGGCGTTTTGCCTCATCGAACGACTCTGCCAGTCAGCGCCGCTAGCAGCCGACGCACCCTTGTTGCCGTCAGCAACGCCCGTCGCGTCAGGATGTAGGCGAGGAGGTGTCGACGAGGGCACGCCTCGCCTCTACCGGGACGTTTTTGCGGGCCGCACTTTCCGCGTGGGTTTGTGCGGAGACGAGGACACGCGGCCGAGTTTAACCCATGCGCTGAAACCTCTGTGCGGGTCCGCGGGAACAGCGCGGAGCCGTGAGGAGAAGCCAGGCTGGAGGCTGCGATTTGCACGCGCGGTAGCGACGACGGACGTTGTGGTGCTCTACAAGCGAGTGACTCAGGCGAGGGTCAACGGCGACGGCATGGCTGCCACCGGCCTGTCCGAAGACGTCCGAGAGCCGCCGGACAGGCGCCTCATCGAACGAGAGGTGAGTACTGCTATTATGCATATTCTTTTTGCATTGCTTTCGATATAAAGCACCCGAACGGCTCGATTGAGCGCTCCGCTGCCCGTCGCGTGTGGTTCACCCGCGAGCGTCGTCTGCTGCAAAAAAGTTTAGCAGGATATATTCTCGTTTTTCACTCACTGTATGAGTATACTCCCGAGCCAATCGATTTATCCGAGATGCGGAAGGTCGTATGTATAGTTATACACGCGCAGAGCGCTCAACCGGGCAGGGCATTCTACAACAGAACGAAGATACAGAGGGACGCACATGGCGCCAGCTTGTGTAATTCGTCACCGGTGTTATTTTTATGCGTGCGAAAAAACAAACGAAAAAAGAACGGACGTGGCGCACCTGGCGAAGCTCGCTCGCCACTTGCGCCCGCGCAAGTGGTCGACCTGCGAATGCGTGCAGAACACGTGTCGTCTCGCCTCTTGAGGAACGCATACGTATACGTTCAGGAAAATCAGAACTCTGCCTCTCCGTGCTAGTGATCTTCTGGATGACGCATTTCTTTGGCCTATCTCACGATGACTTGCAGTTTTACAATGCTCCAGCGTAACTGTTGTTTCTCTTTCCACGTAAGGCCACTGCGGACCTCGGGAACGCGACTGCCACAACTGTAATAATTGTTGGTGTTTACCGTCCCAAAACCACCACATGATTTTGAGAGACGCCGTTTGCGCCGCGAATTTCGACCACCAGCATGCACTTAAATCTAAGCACACGGGCCTCGGGTATTTTCGCCTCCACCGAAAATGCGACCGGGATTCGATCCCGCGACCTCAGCAGTCAGGCGCCATAACCGCCAGACCATCGCGGCAGGTCCGGTGACAACTGTTTATTTACCTCTTATTGAAGGAGATGAGCATATATTATACCAGTCCCTCCGCCCATGCCGGCCGTCTGTGTTGCCATGCAGGGCTAGTCATCGATTAATTGAGCTGCATGCTTGCTCAATGTTGCCACCTTCTAAGCACACGGCTTAACGACATAGTGTCGATCGAGTCCATGTAGAGTGCAGGGGGATTCCGGGAATGTCTCCTGGTAAGCGAGCCAAGTGGCTGGTCTAACCCGGTCCGGCGAGTTGCTGCCTCTCTCGTGTTTCTTTTTCTTGCTCTCATTTTCTTTCCCTCCCGGGATGAACGCGACAAGTGCGGCCGGTTCGTTGATTTGGCTTCGCGCCCGCTGCTTCAATTACGTGTGCTCTATGAAAAGAGAGCCGGGCCCAACTTGCGCGCGTCTACAGACAATCGAACAACCCTGTTCGCAGGTGCGTGCGTTTGTATTGCAGCGTGGTAAAAATAACTGAAGCTTCACATGTGGCCGTGTGCATAGAACCGAGCCGAACTGTAGGTTTTACGTGTGCCTACGACGTGGGAAGGGGGCGAATAATCGTGCCGCACTAACTGTGCATTTAATCGAGGCGCACAAAATGAACGCGCCGTCGTTTCCATCAAGAGTGGCCCCTGCGCGTCAAGGGTTCACAAAGAAGGCGTGTGAAACAATGGAGCGATATCCGAGCGCGTTCAGTCAGAAACGCTAGAGGCGAGTCCGCGTTGTGTCTATCGAATCAACAATAAAAAAAGCTCGCTTTGTTAAGATAACGAAACTATGTATAGTAACACGGAGTGCAGAGTCGAACTCCTCCCCTGAAAACGATATATCATAACAATAAAAAGTATACACACTGGGAATTCACACGAAAAAGTCATGTACCGATCATGCCGGTGAGTTCACCGTTCGGTCTCAAGTTGTTTTTCTCGCTGTGTGAGCGAGGTAAAAGTCCTGCAGCGTGGGAGTCAGCCGTTTCGAGTGTAAAAGTACCACGTGGGATGTGGTGGAAAGCCCTGCCGTGTCGCGTATATTGACCTTGGTGCAGAATATGCGCTTCGACGGAGTGTTGACGTGTAATTCATCCCCTGGGGCAGTGGCAAAACTACGTTGCTGTTATAGAGAATGCCCCACTTACTGGTGTATTGGAAAAGATGGTGTTCACATTATGTCGCAAGTGCCAGAAAACCGCCATCTTCCGTGGAGGAGGATTTGTATAGCGCCAATATTAGACCTCCCTTCCCCCCCGGCTCCTGCCGGGTGGCTAAAAATAGCTCGTTATTAAAATGTAGATCGAGTGATTAGCCACAGTGTGTTATTTGGCTGCGTGCAACTCTGCAAGACTCTGAGGGAAAGAACATGCGCCAAAAGGAAAGAGACGTGCATGCGTTCTACGCGAAAAGCAGCACTTCCCCACATTGGCAGGCCGAGTGAGCGCATCGATTACACTTCGCACATTGCATACGCTGTTGTGTGCATGCGCGTCGTGTGAGATATATTCGCTTCGCGGGTTTGTATCAGCGGCGGTCAGCGTAAACGACCTCTACTACGCCGCTGCGGGGGGTTCTGAGCCGGAAGCGAGCGCAATTAGGCGAGACCGGTCGCCAGTGCACGTATCCTGTCGACGCCTGCATGCAAGGACTGGCTCAAGTGCGATACAGATTTTTCTATTATTATTATTCGTGATATCCCTGTAACACCGCGTAATGACGTTACTGCGGGGTGATTGTGTATAGTGATTTGATATAACGTAATTGCATTCCCAGGATAGAATGCGAAATCAGAGTATAATAATAGCATACCACTGACAATATGCAAATAACAAGCAGACGAGAAAGATGCAATGTAGCAGGGACGTAGCCAGATTTTCTTTCTTTTTTTTTTGGGGGGGGGGGGGGGCATCTTTTTGATATCAGTGGAGGGGCACCCCCCTCGAAGTGGTCATTTTTTCCTCTCTATGCCATGGCGAGAAAAAAAAACCGAGGGGGGGGGGGGGCACGGGCCCGTTGTGCCACTTCGTGGCTATACGCCCCTGTAATGTAGTACATGTCACAAGTCGTCCGCCGCGGTGCTTGTATACATGATTATGCTGCTCGGCTGCTGAGCCACGCGTTCGCTCCCGGCCGTGGCGGTCGCAAAGTGAAGCCGGCTCTAACAGACGATAATTCCAAGGAAAGTATAGGGGATGCTATTATGCCGAATCGTAATGCAAGTGTGAAGAAAGAAAACTGGGTGAAAAGGTAACTCGCCGTCCCGCAGGTCGCGACATCGAATCCCGACTGCGGCGGCTGCACTTCCGATGGAGGCGGAAATGTTGTAGGCCCGCGTGCTCAGATTTGGGTGCACGTTAGAGAACCCCACGTGGTCGAAATTTCCGGAGCCCTCCACTACGACGTCTCTCATGATCATATGGTGGGTTTGGGACGTTACACCCTACATGTCAATCAATCAACCAATCTATTTTTCCTCTCAAAATGTATGAGCATTTTCATGCCCCCGCTAAATCGCTTACCTACCGTTGGCCATTATATATATATATATATATAATATATATATATATTATATATATATATATATATATATATATATATATATATATATATATATATATATATATATAATTGCAGGGAATAAATTCTTGGACGCCGGTAAATAGTATGAATAAAAAGAAGACACACGTCGAAAAACGGAAAGGTTTCTTTACGTTTCGGCCGTGGGACCGGCCTTCGTCAGAATTCTGACGAAGGCCGGTCCCACGGCCGAAACGTAAAGAAACCTTTTCGTTTTTCGACGTGTGTCTTCTTTTTATTCATATATATATATATATATATATATATATATATATATATATATATATATATATCTATATATATATATATGAGATCTAACAGACAGTAATGCCAAGGAATGTATAGGAAAAGTTATTAGAACAAATGGAATGTCGATAAGAAGAAAGAAAAGTGGGTGAAAAAATAACCAGCTGTGAGCAGGAATCGAACCTACGACCTTCGGCTGCTCACGGCTGGTTATTTTTTCACCAACTTTTCTTTCTTCTTATTTACTTTTGTTCTAATAACTTCCCCTATACATTCCTTGGCATTACTGTCTGTTATATTTCATTAATATTGTGTCAAAACACGGAAAAACGAGCCCTTAGGTATACACTTCTTTCCCTTAATATATATATATATATATATATATATATATATATATATATATATATATATATATATATATATATATATATATATATGCGTAGTTCAGTAGAAATAAAAAGGTGTGATACGGCCTTATAAAAAAAGGCGCCTGAAGTAGATGGCGATTACCTGAAGCACAAGTGTGTGCAAATGAAAAATTACACACGCTCCAGCGAACGAGACCAAATTAAGGAAGCGGAGCGCCCTGCTGACATGAGATAGGAGGCGCGCGTATGATGAAGAAAGAAAAAAAGGGGGAGGGGGGGTAGAGGTATATGCAGCTACGCTGCGCCCTTTCTTGCACAACTGCATTCTCGCGCTTGCTTCCGTTCCCTTTTTTTTTTTTCTTTCCGTTGGATGCTCCCATTCCTGACAGCAGCGAGCGAAACCATTGTTTTCTGGGAACGCGATCCGCGTACGGGTGCACTCGTGTGACTACGCGTCCCTGAGACAGTGCCGCAGAGTCGATCTCAGCGGTCGTCCTGCGGAGAGCTTCGAAACGGAACGTGACTCATGCAGTTTCGAGCGGTCGCGTGGGCGCCGACCTGGCTGCTACGAGCCGTTCCCCGTTATTTCCCCAGGAGACCGTCATTCGCCCAGATATTACCTAGCAATTCCCTGGGCAGCGAGCGCGCGCCTTTGCCAAAGTTTCGGTTTCGAAAACGCACCGCTTTCGCGTGACTTGCGACGCGCGGCCATTTCCAATACAAATAGAGTTGTTAAAGCTTCGGTGGCATCCTTTGGCGCATTGAAAGCGCATATTTGCTGTCGTCGGGGCTGGGCGCATTGGAAACTTCACGAAGAAAGGGAGTCCAACCGCACAAGTTGGTGTGCAGGGAAGCTGTGTATGCAGCATGATATTTTGAAAGATCCTGCACGAGACATCCGCATGCCTGTGTTGATGTTAACGTAGCCCCATAACAAAGTCTGTTTGTGACCACACATGTTAAAAGGAGTGTGTGCGTACCTCTACATTGGTGCCCACTTATAATTGATGTGCAGCTGGCCACCAAGTTGAACAGTCTGTTTTACTCAAGGGGTAATAGCTAGATTGGCTGTTCCCACCACTTGCTCAACTGTGTTATGAAGAAGTGCTGTTTGTCCAGATTGATTGAGAAACTTTATTTATAAGGCATGAGATACAAGGGAGCAGCGAGGGTGGGTCCCTAGTCCAGGACTCCAATCACTGTTGCTGTTCGCTCAAAATTGCTCATTCACGCGTACTCCAGAGCCCGGGCGATGATTGCAGCCAGAGGACTTTCGGAATAAGGGACCCATTTTCCACCTAGGAGACCCCGAGCTCGGGAACACTATTTCGAGTCAATAAACATTTGTTTCATCATCATCTGCATCATCGGCAATGTGAGCACTTAGGTAGTCCATTTTTAAGAACTCTAAAGACGCACTGGAAACGATGATTCAACGAAATAATATGCACATACACAAAAGTGCTTGTGCTGTGCTTGTGTCGTCCCGCGTTATGTCATTATCTCCAATGCTCTATTACCTTTCTCTGAAAACAAAAATAAAATAGTCCTCAGTTTCGTATTCTGGCCTCGACGGCCACATTTCAATGAAGGCGAAATGTTTGAGGGCCCGACAGTTAGATTTAGGTGCATGTTGGAGAACCCCGGGTAGTCGAAGTTTCGGAGCCCTCAGCTACGGTGAGCTTCATAACCATGTCATGGTTTGGTAACAAACCCCATCAATCATTACCATCATCAGGTATTATTAAGTCAAATATAGAATGCGTGCTTTATACGCTTGCTCGAATGTTTTGCTCGTTTATAGTTTGGAGTTGTGCGATCTTTAGATTGTTGGGCACACAGCAAACACTCGCAGCGGATTGCAAAGTGGTCAACCTTCACACTGTTCATATATAGCTTGAAAATGCCCAGAATCTATCCTGGTTTGTTCAGGCATTGCAATGCTACCCAAGGTGTCCAAAAGTGACGACAACACGACAGCCGTACTGCGAATTTTTCAGGGCCGGCAGCTCCCCTCCTCAAAACCTCTTCTCAGATCCGTCTTCGGGAATGTTTCCCACACTTCGCGGCTTGCCCGGCACCGCAGCCGCTTCTGTGAATCAACACTAACACTGCACGTGCATCACCATGTCATTTCATTGTGTCGTATTGTGCTGTAATATCGCATTGTGTCTCGTGTTGCACCACTCCTTCACCCTGGAACGAACTGGGCGTGCCTCTTCCTTCTTTCCTGGGTTGGGAAGGAGGAGGTGTTTGACCTTCTCATTTTGGGAATGGAGATAAAGACTCCTTCATTGGACTGCCTTGGACTTTATTGTTTTCTCTTGCAGGGATTCTTGGGAAGATCCAGGCTTTAAAAATGCGAGCGCCATGACACTCCAAATGATACTATCATCATTCATGTAGTATAACGCTACCTTCAGCATACAAATTATTGTAAAAGATGTTCCTGGTATCAGCTCTGGCTCCTCTGCTCATCTTCACCCTGAGAATCAATGGATGGCTTCGGTCCAGGAGAAATCCCCTCAGTCGCAGCTCAACTGAATTTTCTTTTACCCGATAACAGACAGTACATGAAAAAGAGATAGGGTTCCTGTGATATTATGATGGAATTCTTGGAATGTTTGGATTCTACGGAGTACGTTGCGACAGTGGCGACAACATTTGTGAGGAAAAGGCGAGGCTGCTTGCAGGTTTCAACCTACACTTTATAAAAGACACACTCACTAAAAAACGAGCACACACACACACAGCAAACAAAGCAAATAAAGAACATATTAGTATAGTCTATAACGAGCGTATCGTCCCAGCATAAACTGAGTCTTTAAGTGGACACAGGCTCACACTTTGGGGAGTTGAGAACTTTGGGTGATGCGATGGTGTGGCGCAGAGACAGAGGTGCAGGCTGGCTTGAAGAGGCCACAACTTGCGGAGGTTACCAAGGAACCTGGAGCCTTGGTAAAATGGGGTGTGGCAGACAAAGGATGTTGGTAGCCACGTTGAGCCGTCGCAGCAACATGAGGACCGCATCCCAAGCGTTGACCCTTGGGCCCAGTAACCTCGCTTTGTCCAACGCCCGGGATCATCTCCCCCTCCTTCTCCTCTCCGCAAGAGACTCTTCTTTTTCCTCTTTGCCTTCCAAGCTCACTACAGTGGCATTCTCTTGCACGTGCACCAGCGTCCTCGTCTTTCTCTTTTCTCACCGCACACCAGAGCACTGCCTATCTTCTCCACACATACATCACAGATATGATGCTTGATATAACTGTCTGTTATCGCTCGTCATGGCGGGGATTACCTAGATTGCGTTCTGTAAATGTGTGTTCTAAAGAAAAATCTGTTCTTATATAGTAGCTCGTCGTCCTGTGTTTATCACTTTTCTTTTGTGACCATCTTTCCGCAGGTTTTCAAGGAATGGATCTGAACCAACTTGCCCAACTTTCAATCGTTCTAAACTCACACGGTCGCCATTTCACCACTGCAGGGCAGTCCGGAGGCGCCGTACCCGCCGGCCGAGCCCGGTTTCGTCACGCCGTCTATGCCAGGCGGCAGCGGTCCGGGCGGCAAGCGTGTTCGCTGCATGGACATGAACTTGTACGCCACCAAGAAGAGCATCGCCCAGGGCATGATGGACATCGCATTGCTCACAGCCAACGCGTCGCAGCTCAAGCACCTGCTGCACGAGGGACCCGAGGCGAACCGCTTCTATGGTCTCACTGTGGCCTGCGTAGCGCTCTCCATAGGGCTTCAGGTACATGTCAACCGTGGTCTACCACAAATGCAGTCGTTCCTCACAATTTCTTTGCACTCTTTTCATATATCGTCTGTAATAATAAGTATAAAGTAAGTTCACTGCCAAGCTCTCTCGGTCTTGGCACTGTTTCAGCAAGGCTCACACTTTAATATTTCTGCTTAGCACTTTTGAAGGGGCCCCGAGCAGTATTCTTAGTTATAATTGCCTGACCTAGCGCATGACGCTTCATGACTCACATGCCGCAAAAATTTTTTCAGTCCGTGTACGAGTGGTGTTGAAGAGATTAGCCCCATGCTTCAAGCGCTTTTTCTTTCCTTTTGTACCAGCGAGCGCGCTGAAAGCTATGCAAGGGAGGGGCAAGCAGAAGCAAGATTCATCTCATGTCAGTGTGTGTCATGATCCTGAATATTTTCTTTTTTTTATACTAACGTGTGGCTTACATTGTGATTATGATTGGATTAGATTGTATTAGATTTGTGGCCCTTTGTAACAGGTGGGCATCAACCGATGCCCTGGGTACAAGGCGGCACCTGGCAGCGGCCACAGTAACCTTGCAATTTACCGTGCTCAGATTGGCCAATGGCAACGGACTTTGGGTTTATGGCGTGGTCATTTAGGTTGTAGAGAGAAAAGAACGAGAGATGTCTGGCTAACTTGGAGGAATGAATGTTAATTCTTGGCCACGTGCTGCGCTCGCCTGTTCTCGGGAGCTTCAACGACCAATCGGCACCATTTTTTGACCATGCTCAAAATGTGTCGCATGGCCAATTCAAACATTATCGAGACGCTTGTGATTGCTCTGTAGCAACCAAAATAAGGTTTCCTGCTGGATGGAATATTAAAGAGCTTCAAAACCTTCCAGATGTAGAAGCTGTCTTGCAGTTTGCAGGAATAAGCACATAGCCACCAGAATTTTTCGTAACTGCGCCATAATAGTAGAGTTACACGCATTTGATCACCCAAAAAGCGGCCCTCTCTCGCCTCATTTTTTACTTGGCTACTATCCGTTCGTCGGCTCGTCATCTCCGAGGCCGAGTGCCCCTTCTCACCGATCGAGGAGGAAGAGTGACGATCTTGCATATCTGCGGGCAGACAAAAGGTTGTTGCTGACATGACTACACGCGAGTGGTGGCGTCATGGCCAACACCAAGGATACTGAAGGATCCAGAGAACCCAAAGGATTGATCTTATTTTTTGGCGCGCTCGCGGGTTGCAGTTCTGCCAAATCTGCTATTGTTGATAGCGATGGCATTCTGAACTCAGAGTGTGTTTACTTGAAATATTGAAAATTTATTGGAGGTAGTTTAGGACACCTTTAAACAAAATGCTGTTGCTGAATGCGTGAGCAATAAGCATGCGGCTTTCGTGTCCACCGTGCTCAAGATGCCCCAATGTAAACTACAGATAGCCAGGAAGCTCCTGCAGAAAAGATGAGTTATGTATCGCATGCTGCATTTTCTCAAGAAGATAAGAGCAGTTAAATTTGCTGAGCTGGTTCGCCACAGCACTTCGTATGCTATTTCTGTTGCAGTGCATTGAGATATGTCTTGCGGAACACTCAATGAAGTAATTGTGCCTTTAGTGTAAGCTCATTGACCTTGCAATGCAGGTCATGGTGGGAATACTCTTGATATTCAACGGCCGATACAACATCAACAAGACGCACCAGCAGCGGAGAGCAGAACTGTTCAACAATGTCATTATCATCGGGGTCTTCCTCATAACGGTCATCAACATATTCGTCTCTGCTTTCAGTGGTCCAGAGTAAGCGTCTATCACTAGGACACAATAAATTTTGATGCACCTTCCCGGTAAGATGGTTGTCTATTTAAGGGATGGCGTGAAAGCTCTCATGCATGTATACTACATATGCCATTTTTTGTGGAAAATGATACAACATATAGATATTGCACTTTTTGGAGTAATTATGCATATTATGATACGCACATTCAAAAGGAAGGTTCACATTCAAGTCTTGTGATGAGTGCACAGTAACATGTTTTATAATTGAATGAAGTGAACGATTTTGGTGAAGCTTGTATGACAATTGACATTTATTTGGTTTTTTTTTTGCTTTTCAGTTCTCCCAGATGGACTGAACGGTCACGACTACCGTGACAACATGTATTAGCTGCATTCACTTGCCATCTTCATGTAACATTGTCATCGATTGTTTTTTTTCTTTTATTGATTTCTATTGATACAGCAGAGCCTTCATACCACTACTATTAACTTATATATGTGTTTTCACGTCTGAAGAGCAGGAGCTGGTCTGCTTTCAGTAACCTGCGACTAGTCGTGTCTCCAACATCAAGGAACTTCTATATGCAATAAAACAGTATTGGCCACCTCTGTTGCACTGTGTTGCATTTTGTTGCCCTTCATGTAAATGATTCAGAACATCATTCCTACAACCTCAGCTAGAGATACAGGATTTGAGAACTCGCCTTAGCCATTACAACTTCTTCATTGCACTCCCCTTTTTTATATGTCAGACAAACTTTTAAAAAATTTTTCAAATCTGACAGATCTGCTCAGGTACTAAGAAAAAAACTTTCAAATCTGATAGCTCTGCACAGGTACTAAAGTACACGTTGCTTGTTTTATTTCCTGTACAGCCACTTTGCTTCAGCAGCCCTGCATGCACAAGCGATGTTGTACTGTGTGCTACTCCTGTGCTGCAGGATGCAAAACTTCATTGAATGGGTCTAAATGATCCCGAGTCCACAGGTAATTTTCATTTAGCTAAAAATATTCCCTATTCAGTTGTTCTTCTTATTGAAATACTTTTGGATAAGATGCATAGGAAAACCACCAGGGATATTCTAAAAGTTCGTTATTCTTAAATATTTTTTAAGCTGATGTTCGTACGAGTGAGAGTTCATATAAATAAATAAGAGTGGATGATTGGCCATTGTTTATTACTTTGCAGTTTAAAGACGGACATAGTAAAGATTCGAAGCACATTAGAAGTTTCCCACAAAGACCCGTAACATTTCAGAAAGCTTTTTGCTGTATAAGTTCCATTTAGAACAGAAGCCCGCTTTCACTTTTAGTACTTCACTATTATTGTTTGGAAACGCATCGGATTCTGGAGTTGCTTTTACAGAGATGTTCAAAGGCTAAATCTCAAGGGGGGAGACTTGTAAGGGCTGTGTCCCCTAGCTTACCCCCCCCCCCGGCCCCATGATGTACGCCACTAGTTAGGGACGCTTTCCTCTGGGCTGCTCGGGCCTGTTTTGAAATCTTCACATTGAGCCAGCGTAAACAGTTTTGTTTCGTTCTACAAATGACATATGTCACGTTTGTGCCCGGATCACATGGTCCTGGTCTATAAAGGTCTGCAGGAAGATAGCCGGGCGTGTTGGCTTTACATATATTGAAAAACAGGAGAGAAAACAAAAAAGAAGATAAAACAGGACTACTGTCGAAGCTTTGGGCGAGTTGGTTTTGGTTTACGATGGTGTGTTTTAAAATGCACAAATATAGGAAAAAGGGACAGAGCAGAAGAAAAAAAAAAAAAGGCCGCACTGTTTTTTTCTACTGTCCCTTCTTCCTATGTTCATGCACTGTGAAATATGCCGCCGCGAACTAGGACAACAGATGACAACGCTGTGTGTGTATATTTTTTTCCTTTTGCATGGTCTATTGAGTGAATGAACTTTCCCCTTCGAAGTGTGGCAGTAACAGGCGGCCGGCCGTGTGGATCGCTTCTTCTCTACTGTACAGCCAAACATCCTGGCCATCTAGATTTTTCCATAAAAACCTTTACTATTTCTACGCTAGTTTTGATGACTTTGGTTGTTCATATGCTTCCCCTGCTTGTTTTTCTACCAATACTTCTAACAAAATCAATGAGCGGTTAATATTTCTATTCACTTCGAATATCTTAGCCTTCGAAAGGTGGACCTCTTTTTTAATTTATATGATACCAAATGTAGTATATGTAGTAAAACACCAAGGTCTTGCCATTCCAGGATGTTTGCTTGTCATGACATATCATCTAGGTCTTGAAAATTGTACCTATGATGCTAATGAACTATTGAAGCAGATTGTAGAGGAAAAGAGAATGACCACTTCAAATCACTCAAGAAGCCAAAGTCACACATTTCATTTATTCAGCACTTCTGTGAACTAGTAATGAATTGTTTGAACTGCTGCTTCAATTCAATTTGAAAAATATTAGGAAGAGGCGAGGACAAACAATAACACCTCGCTCAAGAAAAACGAAATTCTTTGAATGATGAAAGTTCCTGTACGGTGGGGCAGCCACTGTCCTGCATTTACACCTCTACGTGGCACACACACCAACTTATAGGACTTCTCATGACACGGAGGGAAACCTGGTGGCACTGTCTGTGGAAGCTTCACTATGGGCACATTGCCACCATGCTTGGACACAGCTTACTCGATAAATCGCTCTTGCACATAACTTCATTTAAAGCATGGTCATTGCTGTGTAACTAAAGCTTCATTGATACTATCCTTACTGACTCATAAAATGGTTTCCAAATTACATTGTTCAACAACATTTACTCATGCATGGTGTAACAATAAGCAGAAAAAATGGCAACACACTATTGAAACAGTACAGCACGGAACTTTCTGCTTGAACTTTAAACACAGACCCTGACGATTTAGATGTGAACAACAGCCATGGGTAGAAAAAAAAGGCTGTGTGTGTGAGGGGGGGAGGCTTGACCAAAGCATGGTCAAGTCCCCTTTCTTGATTAAATGTGTGTTGTAAGGACATCTCAAGCTCAACCACTCTTGGCTGTAGCTTCCAGGTAGTACCATTAAAGTTTGACGCCATTGTATGTCTAATAGCATGGGTGTTCCTTCTCACTTCTTCTCATGAAGTGTTATTGCATAAAACAAAAACAACATAGTTCTGTAAGCTGTTTGAGTTGAGACACAACCACAAACGCCTGATGTATGTTCAAGCTGTCCTCATTCCCTGAATAAGATGTAAATCCTGAGCCCCCCTTACTGGAATTCTCACAGTAAACAACAGTATTGCATTACTTCTAGTTCCACAAAGCAACAAAGGCTGTATGTACCAGCCCCTATAGGACTTCCCTGGAAAATAGTTCAGTGGGTACAAGAGCACCATAAGACACTTAATTGAACTGAATGGGGGGGGGGGGGGGGCACAACCACAGTGAATGGAACTCGAGAGGCCTCATCCAATTTTTCATCTGATACCTGCACACGTAATCATTCATGGCAACATTGAAAATTATTTGCAGAGAGTGCAACAGTCATGAGATCAAGCGCATAGCCATGCTACAGCCACATATGAAGACAAGGCAGAAGTTCAGGGGAAGATGGAAACTTTGAGATGAAAAATTCAATACAGGGTATCACTAGAGCAGGCGTTTCGACGAGTATTCTTTTTCAAGGCTGCAACTAAGGGACACCAGAGTTGCATCTTGAAGAATAAAACAGTGCCTGTCAAAATACCAGCTACAGCAATACTTTGTATAGATGAATTTTTCATCTCTTTAAGCCACATGCGGTGAATGTTTTAATCTAAATGTTTTAGCAGTACTATTTATTTGATAGTTATGACTTAATGAGTGAGCAAAACAACTTCATTAGGTCCACAATAGATGCAAGTTAACTCGACGTCACCTGGCTAGGCTCACTCGCGGACAGTCACGTTAAACCTGACAGCCCTCGCACGGGCCTTCAAATGACGAGCAAATTTGTGGGCTATTAAAATTTATGCTCGGTGAGTTGGTTTATGCTCGAAAGGGGAGAAAAAAAAAGGGGAAAAAAAAAGGTTGTGCACGAACGAGACAAGGACTTTGTAGTTTATCGTGCTCGTCCCCGTCTAGTTTGCATGTAACCATTTCTTTCCTTCCATTTATGGGCCGACGTTGAGATTTTATTGTTGCACAATTCCACTGCTCAGTGTTATTCAGATATGCTGAGAAAACGGATTGCAGAACGTTTTATTTTACTACTATGCTGCACATAACATCGTGCTGTAAACACTATGACCAAAGCTGGGTGACAAGTTTCACAGCTTGCTACATCCTTGAGCAGAAGGGTGTCTAGCAAAGGTGTAAAGCGATTATGCTAACAAGAGAGAAGGCAGGGAGGCGATTATGCTGAAGTGTCCAAATAAACTGCGCTGCGACGTTGCACCACAGAATTGTGTGGACTGCTGCTACTAATTCTCATATCATGAGCATATATCATCGTTTGCATAATCTTGTAGCCGATAGCAATATCTATCGACCAAAAGTCATATCAATGTTGCTAGCATAGGATTTATTATTAAATTAAATTTAATCTCATTATGAAGTTTTGAAAGGTAGGAAAACAATATGTGATAATGAGGCATGCTATATTAAGCTTGACTACTTGATGTTAGTGGCTTTAAGGGCTTTAGATGCTGACAGGCTACAGATAGAAGCGCCAAGCACTCCTCATTGAAGACACCCCTATCCATGCAGAATGCGGAACACATTCCACTGCATGTTTAATTGCTCAAAATAATTTTCAAGGCATACATCTCTGTATGTTTAACTAGTTAGAATTGAAAAAACTACGTACAAAACAAAGCTTATTACTATATGCTGGGTCAGTGAACGCACGCCAATCCTAAAATACGAGATACGTGACCTATTCTTAGTATATGCACAATTCCAGGCAATAACCGAAAAGAGCACTTGCTCTGCAATTATCTGTAACCTCCACAGCACTTTGGTGCCGAACACTGAAGTGATGGTTGTACGAGTGATCATGTCACAGAGCTCAAGGAAATGCCTCTGGCATGACAATACACTAGCTTCTCCAACATCAACAAACAGCTCACATGGGAGACACCACACCAGTGGTCATTCAAGCATGTCAATGTCAGTGCACTTGTGTTTGCTGGATACATCTGCATTCAAGTGCTTGCTCTAACAAATGCAGTGACCTTGCAGAAAATACGCAAACATATAGCATTAAATAAACGGCACTGGAGTGTTCCCGTATTTTGTTTCATATTAGAATGATCCAAGGCTTCCCTGGAATAAATCTTTGCTTCTTATGAGCTGCAAACATAAGTTACTTTATTTTGTACACATCAGAAGTAGCATTCAGCTGAAATACTCATTCCTTCTCTCTGGACTTTACAGCTTCAGCAAACACACATATGTACATGAAATGCCCTTACATACATCATCAGGCAGCGAGAAAATGCCTGCAGCTTCATCTTTTTCACTAGGAGATTGCACTTCCATTCCTGCATGCTTGCAAGAGTTTATAAGCCCCATTTAACTGACGCCCTTCTTAACAGCCAAGTAAAATTGCCCAGCCAATAAGTGTTTAAATCACGCAAGCAAATGCAGCCACTTAGGCTGTGCGTTTGCGCATGTTACTATCTAAACGCTTGTCAATCCATAGCTGCATCCAAGTCTTTTGCATAACTACAAGAGCGACATTCTGGCCAAGCTATTGGTACACTTCCAATAGTTTTTAGCTGTGGCCAGTATGAATGCAAAGAACGCTCTGCCTTCACAAAATATTGAATTCGTGTCAAGGCTTGTTAATAGTAGAAGTCTTATAGCCATCCTTCAGGATGAGGCACTCTTATTGCTCTCTGCTATTACCAAGCCTGGCAAATTCACTTTTTGCGGAGGACACCTCCACAGGTCAAACAGGGCTTGTCTGCATACAACCATCAGGGCACAATAATCACCCTCTCTTCTTTTTTTATTTGCAAACGCCAATGCCTCTATGGAGAGGCTCACCAAAGTCCGACACAAAGGTGTGTGCCTTTGTGGTGATGTCTTTTTGCACATAGTCAGCACTGGCAACACGAGCTTGAGTTCATTGGTGCAGCTTCTCCAGGATGGAGAGGGGAACACCGTCTCTTGCGAGCTGTTTCGGAGGCAGGGTAGCCAACCAGGGTGCGGCTTGTAACAGAGCCAGCCAAGAAAGTTCTAGCAGGCTGGGCACAGTGAGCCACATTGACCAAAGGCTGTTGCAGCGAGACGTACCGTCTACAGCTGTGACACCACCGAAGACAAACATCTGGCCACTCTCAGTCACTGCAGCTGCATGAAAGTAGACTGGACTAGGCAGAGAAATGTGCAACCTGCGCCACTGGAGGGTCGGCAGGTCTAGCCTCCACACGTCATTGAGCACTTGCGTGCCCGTATGACCACCACACACGAAAACAGCTGTGGCAGAAAAAAGAAACGATGGGGGAGATTCTCATTTTCATGTCAACCCTTTTGCCATAACAGAGTAAGAAATGACCACTTTGCAATAGTTTGCAATATTTGACTAGAATTAATACGTTTACAGTGTCTGGGAGAGCCTCAGCATATTTTACAGGAGAGAGTTTATATAAAACAGTGGTATCTGCAACCTAAAGTCTCACAAGTTGAGCATAATTGACAAAACCATGTGTCCTATCCTTTCTCCCACATTAATTGATTTTTGGAAGGAAGCCAGATGAGAGAAATGCGAATGCAGCATAGACTTATTAACGTAAGTTGCTGGAGTCTCTGATCCCACACCAACAGCAACTTTGATTGTCCGCAGTCGCTACCAATGAGGCAGTTACTACTCGTTAGACCCTGCTACTTGGCATGTCATTGTAGGAAACTTATAGAACACAACACTGAGATTGGGCGTAGAAGAGATCACACACATAAGCTAAATTAAGGACCGTAGGCATGAAACGAGGTGTAGGTTCACAGTCCCGGAGAACAGCCACGGCAGCTATCCAGCAAAAGTCAGCTAAGCCTGTAAGTCTGCTGCCTGCGGTGTCAAAGGTGACGGCTCGATTGTGTCCTAAAGCACTGTCACATGCAGGGAAAAACAGCGAACTTTCACCTGTACGAAAGGTCAGTTTAAAGATTATTTCAGAAAAAAGAATTTTCAGAAAATCTCTGGCAGTATTCTAATGCATTCCATGTGAAAATATTCAAGTTAAGGGGGGAGGCTACCATGGAAGGGCAACTGTTTAGTTTGTTGAGATATCCTAATGAAATTTTTAGGGTAGGCCAATAATAAAGCCACTTGAATAACCATGAAATTTCATGCATTTGGGTTCGCTGGTTCCAAAGTTACAGCCATTTATCAGGATAGTCCACATAGATTTTTTAGTCAAGCTCTGGTGAATTTAATAACACCATGAAATTCACTGCGATGATTCCTGGATGGGCGCTTTACACTAGGATAGTAGCCCCTTTTTTTTAATTTCCTTGCTGAAAATATTTAGCAAAGCATTGAATTTGGTGTTTGCCATTCAGCATTCATCAATGAAATTTTAATTAATTATCACAAATTACACAGCAATAAATTTAAAAAACGGCTCTGTCAGTGTGTGGGTTATTTATTTGGGTACATAAGAAAACAAATCTGATAGAAATAAGATGAACAGTTGTAGAGATATCACCAGACTAAGCAGCCTCACTGGCCTGAAAATTCATTCTGAGAAAACAGACTTTGAAAGTTTCGAACACATATTTTGGTCTAAAATGACCCTCCAAACTAGCTAGAAGTTTTCTTTAGGACTTTATTCCTTTTCCGCTTTTCCTGCTTGTGTTGCAGCTGTTCTTGAGCTCTTTTTCACACGGAAAAAGGTCTTCTCTCCGCTGCCCATTGGTAGCCGGCCTAGCGGCGTCAGTTGCTGACATAGCGCCGAGCTTTTGGTGCACAGCAACTCGTTCCCTATTCTCCGCATTAACTCCTCGCACGTCCAAAAAACGTGTTGGCAAATGCACAGTCGATGACGGGATCGTACTGTTCGGGACCGTAACCAAATCAGTTAGCGAGCGCAACGTACTAGGCGCACTTGAGCACAAAACACCAACACCAGGCTAACTTGTGATGACGAAGCGTTGCGCCGATTCTCGGTGTCACGATACGTATCAATGCAGCCGTCGTTTTGAAGAGACGAAGGAGAAGCTGCTCAGCATTGATGTGACTGTCGCCCACGCGTTGGCGCATGAAAAAGCCTCACCATGCGTACAAGCTTCATCGTATGCTTTCTTGAACAGAACGCGTGCCGAGTACCAAACTTTGCCCTGCCCATTGTTAGTGGCAGAGCCACAATCAGCATGCCCATGAACACGGCGAAAGCTCGTCTCGTAAAGACAGTGAAAGATTGAAGAGCACGCTATGAGAACCAAGCAAAATTATGGCAAATGGGAAAGCAATGAACGGCAAGAGAACGCCGACACTTGCAAGGCCGGCGCCAGAGCAGACGGCGAGCAGGGAGAACATTGGTTTCAGCTGGTTTCAAACTTTTTGCACAGCCTCGCCACCTTTTCCTCTCACAGGCAAGGGAAAGGTACCCCTTCGTCATGACTGGTTTAGACCAATGAATGAGCTGCGTGCTACGTGAAGTTGCCCATTTGCGACTTTGCGTCACTGCGCGTGAAAGGAGGATTGGCCAGGCATAGGAAAGGAGCGTGGTACTTGTTTTTTGTAATATAGGCTTTAGGGGCGTTGTAGTATTCGGAAAATGTGATCGTTGCTGTCTACTTTACGTATTACCGAGCTTCTTTAGGAGGTGTAAAAAAAAAGGTCGAAGCCTGTTGACTGGCCTTTATCAAAGCAGTTGAAGAAAAGCTTTGAAATGTATTTTGCTAGGGGAAAAATACCGACTTACAGTTGCGGTACTGAACACTGCTGTGGCATCTTCGCTTTGCGGGGAAACCTGCAAGCATCGAAATGGAGACTGTGTGGCAGATGGACAAAGCAGTGACATGGATCAGACGGGGCTCAACCAAATGTTCACACACGAAAATGATGCAGTTCATTGCATGGATAGAGCTCGAATACCAGTGATGTCATTATGCTGCTGATAAGAAAAAATACACAGAGTCTCAACACTACAGCTAAGGCTTGCAATCGATTATGCCTGCTGGACCTATCTGACAGAGCTTCTTGCTAACATCGATCAACAAACCCCACATAACAGTCCAGCTGTGTATCATTGAAGTACACTCAAACCTTACTATAACAAAGTTGCATCTTACATGAAAATAAGCTCCTTAGTTCCTTATATCCGAAAATTTGTCATAAAGGCTTATTCCTGACACTATGTATATGACAAGAAATATTAATTTACTTCGTCATAACTGACATTTCGTTCTTACCAGTTTCGTTATATCAAATGTTTGAGTGTACATGCCCAAATGTTGGGGCAGTGGCATCAAGTTCTCTGCACAAATTATGTGTCACGGATTAATTCTGATGCAGAAAGCAGCTTACAGAAAATTGTTCGATAGGCTATATTTCAGTTGGTTTTATGTCATTTGACTTTCACACTGGGGTAAAAAAAATGTGAAAAAGGAAGAAAGTTACTTTTTGGCATGCGACAATTTCGGGTTTCATGAAACTGTGCTTTACTATGCCAGCAGAAAAAAGTGCATGATTCCAATTTTTGCTTTTATTGCCTAAGAAGTCATGTTTCATGAATGAAGGCAGGCTACATCAAGGCAGGATGAGTACTGCCTCCAGCCTACTACAATGACAGGAGAAATTTGGCTAGCAATAATAACGTTGCCAATGAAGTTGCAGTACCGTATTTACTCGAATAATCCTCACACTTTTTTTTGGCGGAAAACCGATGCAAACGGCGGAAACCGATGCGAGAATTACGCGGGGAAAGCTTTCCACGAAAACGTACAGAGCGAAAAAGAAAACCAAGTGGCGGAAAATTGGGATTCTCACACCAGCAACTAACAGCAAGCTTTGAGAAGTACTAATTTAAAGTTACCTCACCAATAAAAGCACAGGTTCAACACAAAGCAAGATTTATTTGAGACACAAAAAGTGCGAGCAAATAGTCGGGAATTAGAATACTGTACGCCAAGATTGTGGGCATTGCGGGCGTAGTGGTAGCGTCCCTCACTCAATGGGAGCACTCAAAAGGTAAGTGTAGGACGTCAGTATTGGGCTGATAGCTATTTAACAGAATCGTCCGCGGTTTCCTTCTGAAGAAATGAAGTTTACCATCAATTCCAGTTTTATACACACACGGCAGACTCAACTCGTCCTGGTGGCTTTCAGCTGCCGTCACCAGTAGCGGACACAAAACTCGTAGACTTTGAAGGGCCTTCCAGCGGCCCTGTTGCCGTTGTTCAGTGCATGATCTATTTCTTTCAACTTAAAAGCAGCCGTGTAGCTTCAGTATCGCCCCATAACATGACAAGATTACTGACACAACATATAAAACAAACCGCAACGTGCACTTGCCACTTTGGCTTGGCTTGGATTGAATCTCTGTGCAATAATAGTACGCTTGATGCTTAAGAGACGGCACCAAACGGCGTGCGCTATCATCATCAGTGATTGTAACGAGCAGGCAACATTATTGCGGCAGTTTTTGGGGGTGCGATAATTACTCGAGGAAAAAAAGGAAATCGTATTTTGTTGGGCGATGTCTGGGGTGCGAGAATCATGCGAGTGCGAGGATTGCGCGAGTACATACGGTAATTGGCATTCCATGCTCACCGTGCCCCGGATCAGGTGTCGTGGACAGGGACTCCCACCAAAGAGTGATTGTGTTAAATGCTGGCAGCTTGCGCAGGGGCAGACTGTCATGCGCCGTGCCACCTCCAAGGACAATAATCCGATCCTCATAGACAGCGAGCTCATGACGATATCTGCAAAGTGCACAGGAACGTTATGCTCATAAAGCATAGAACTGCAGCACAGCCCAGACACAAGCAATGTGAACCTGCTGTTCGAAACCCAGCATATATTGAATGCAAAACAAGACAGAAGTCAGACTGCTGATTGGTTGTGGTAGAATGTTACTGAAATATTGAACTCGAGTAGAGAGAAACATGCCATTAGAGACAGTCGTAGAAAGAGTTTTCACACATATTAGTGTGTGTTTCAACAAGCCAGCCCATTTTCTCACAACCGCTGGGCACAAAGCTTGAAAGCACCACTTGAACTGATCACGAGTTGCTCTATGCTTTCATTGAAAAACTATGTTGCCCTGCTTAGGAAAAAAGAATAAAAGTAAGGAACGCAACTTTTGTGCAGAGGCTATGCAGGAGGCAGAGGACAGGCAGTATAAACGACACTCGTGGTGACAAGCACACATTTTTCCTCGTTGCTGCTTAACCACATCACGAGTGCTCATTCATCCACTGACTATGCTGTAGAGGACAAATATACAGGGCACAGAGTCATGTGCCCAGCCACAAAAATGGCAACAAAAAGCAAGGAAAGCCCGGTCACCTTCGTGTAGGCCTAAATTCAGCAGTGAAGACGCTTCCACGTGAGGTCATCCAGAGACAACCGGTGGACATCCATGGAGTACTCAAAGCCTGTTGTGCCTCCAAGGACATACAGGTAGCCTTTGTGACAGCACATGGCCTAAAAGAAAGAGGAAATCGCGCACCACATGTAACAAGTCATAGCTGAAAAAAGCTTCTACTAAAACAACAGCTAGAAAGCTATACATGTGTCAACGTGTCAACCAAAGAAAGCTACATAGAGCCTTGTCAGACATTCAGAGTTGTAACTTATAAAAAATAGAGAGAAAGAAAAAAAAGGGGACAAAGACAGGCCAAACGCACATCGAAAGGCATGCATGTAATGCACACACACTCGTGCAAAGAGTCACGTGGTTATAATTAAATGTGAAGACATGAGGTTTCGTTCAGTGGTTAGCACCCAGGAAGGTAATTCAGTTGCATGAACCATGATCGCTTTGCTATGCGCGTCTCAGCAGATATGTTAAAGGGGTGCAGACACAAAAATTTGCGGCCAAGGTAGCCTGCCGGATCGATTCCCATTAACATGCGTATATCATCTGCAAAATATCAATAGCAAATATAGCTCGGAAGGTATTCTTCTTTTAATTAATCTTGAAGTTTGCTTGAGCGATCAATTCCAACACACTATTGACACTCTCAAAGGGGATCCTTGGAGACCCCCTACTTTCCTCACGTGAGCACGCTGCAGCTAGTTATGACGACGTCATAGTCGCCTTTTTTTTTTTTCTTTGTCCTGCTTGCTTTAGCGGACTATTACAGAGCAACTGCTCGGGGATCTGTAGCCGCGGTGCAAGAGTTCAAGATTTGTGTTTGATGACACTGCTGTCCCATTTCTGTTTGAACAAACTTCTTGATGTGAACCACGCGAAAGTGCATCACAATTCTGTGTGCTGACATGGTTGAGCGTTGCACCCGCTAGGTGGCGATAGTTGCACCTGGTGGCTTGTCGGTTTTGAAACCGAAACTGACACTAGTCAGGAATAACGACTCTGTAATTAATTATCTGTCACACACTGCAGAAAACAATGTGTCATGTTATTTAAACATATTTTAACTCAGCACGCAACTATGCAGACATAAAAGAAGAAGGCACAAACCGTACCCTTCTTTTCATAGTAGTGTCTGCATAGTAGTGCACCGAGTTAAAATATGCTTAAGTACTGTCACCAACTGGCCCAGCTTTCAGTCGTTCTGCAGTGTCGTGTTGTGACTGACAGGCCTCCAGGGACACATTGCAGCAAAAAAACGCCAAGCCAAAATTTTTGTGTCAGTACCCCTCTAAGAAAATATGCATCTTCAATTTCTTGTGCAACCTTCTTTGTTAATTTGAGAACCCCCTAGCTTCTGACTGAAAAGCACAGCCACACCTCCTACACTGCAATGAAAGGCTTCAACTAAGTGGTCTCCTCAATGAAGCATTACAATCTAATAATCTGTTATTTAAACAGCGGCCTTTCTGCCTGACACAGCCCAGCAAGCCACTCTTCTCAGTTGTAAATACAGCAGAATCTCGATGATACGAATTCGAAGGGAGCACACAAAATATTTGTATTATTCCAAATTCGTATGGACCAAAAGCAAATTTAAGCTAATATTGAAGATGAACAAGAAGTTTATTGGCAACTATATTTTGCTTAAAAAAAGTCTATGATGTTTTTTTAACTTTCCTGCCGTTAACATTTCTCAATAAAGTGCCGCGGTTCCCTCACTTATGCTGCTGGTTCTCAATAAAGTGCCGCGGTTCCCTCACTTATGCTGCTGGTGCGGCACGATGACACTTGACGTCAAAGGGAGCGATAGCAGCGAAACTCATTGGAAATTCACTCGCTTCGCCGCTCATGAGGCCGGAAAACTGCACCGGGAGTAAAAATCAGTCCTGGCGAATTCACACTGGAGAATTGAAGGAAGAACGCCAGAGCGGCTGGAAAAATTGTCTGCGCCCGTCAGAAACGTTCACATTCGTTCTGCCCCTCGTATATGCCACCCCTGCCATCGCCACTTGAGAATCAATTATGTTTTGCCCATTTCCCAAGCATTGAAGTTTCTAACGAGTTCTAGTTATGCACGAAAAGCACTGAAATGAAACAGTTTATCTACTAATGTTTCGGAAGATACGCCAGCAGAAACGACACGAGCGGACGTAGCAGCGGCAAACGATTCAGCCGGTAGTGCAAAAGCGAGACACGCTAGGGTATGCCGACTCACTGCTGCTGCACATTCTTCTACTTACGGTGTTCTCATAGATCATGATCTAAACCAGGCTCTCGAATGCATCCTTGTCAAGGCCGTAAGCTTTGACGTGCTGCACGGGTATTTCGCGATAGCGCCGACACAATCTATCGCCAACGCCTTTGCCGCCTAGTTGAATTGAATTAGCGGCTGGTTGTTTGCATCACTTGGCTTGAGAGCTAGAGCTAGAGCAGCCGGTGTAGCCAATGCCAGGTTGCAAAAAAGGTGATCTCCTTTCGCGTGGCGGGAAAATTGGTCTCGGACAGTTTTTTTTTTTTTTCAGGCCACTAAAACAAGGAAAATTCCGGCGAGTTTTGCCACACTCACTACCACCAAGGCCAAGAGTGAATGGGCCTTCATCGCACAGGCAAGCCCTGTTTAGCCGCTGGCATGCAGCGGTCCATCATCGCACATTTGGATCATCCTTGGTGGATTGGGGAACCGTTTGTAAACACCGAATTGTGGCGTATTTTATATAATGTAGTCCATTCAAAACAACCTTGGAATTCGTATCATTGAGATTCTACTGTGCGAGCAAGAGAACTGCCTCGTTGTGAAACATCTCCAAACGAAACCACTGGTCAGCCAGCTTACCTGTCCGTACTGTTCGTAGGGAAGATCACCACTGGTTGGCACATGACCCAGTGGTGGCTTCGCAGGTTGAATGCATAAAGCCGGTTGGAAATTCGCTCCCCAAAAGGAACGCCTGTGCCTCCATACACAAGCATCTTGTCGTGATGCAGCAGAGCTGGTCACTGCAGGAAGCGAAAATTGCCATTAATTTCTGTCCACGTGTTGTTAAAAAGATGGAAGTTCTGTGTAGGAACAAGTTGTCCAGGCTAATAAAACAGTACTAGCAAAAAAATAAAAGCTGCTAAACTGCAATAAGTGGAGGCATAGAATTTACACTCTGTTACAATTCATGATGGTTCGATAAAGCTCCTGCAGGAAAACCAAGGTTACTTCATTTCAAGACCAGAATACAAGAGTAATCAGTGCAACGCAAAAGTAGTTCATAAATCAGCTAAAAATATTCAAGCAAAAAAAAAAATTCAGGAAAACTCATTCTAGCTTTTGCCCGGACGTTTCAACCAGGCCAGTCTTCCATATGTGCAGTTTGTTTCACGATCATATAAATATAGAGACACGACATAGCCAGTGCCCCTAGAGATGTTAAATGCATAATGTGAAAGTATAGAGAAGTGGAAGAAGTGGTCAGGAAATCATTATAGAAAGTTTTCAGTGCAGACATGAACAAAGACTACTAGAAGAGCAGCTTGTTTGTCATCCCCTCCTACATTCCCTTTCGGTGTGTGCACACTAGTACACTTTCCAAACAGAGTGTCCATAAGTGGTGAAAAAAATATAGCTAGTGTTTGTGGCAAGTGGACTGCTTTCTTCTCTAAACAAAAGAACTTGCTAAGTGATTCCAAAGTGTAAACAGCATCTGACAACATTCTACAAAAGATGCAGTAGAGAGGACAGCAGCGCTGAAAGAGGGAAATGATTCCTAAAATATTGGGGTCCGTATTCAAGCTACATGTCTTCTTTTCTTACGACCACTAGTCAGCAGTTGAAAGAGCACAGTTACGATTTGAACCCACCATGGTGGTCGAGTTGTTAAGGTACTCAGCTGCTGACCCACTAGTCATGGGATTGAATCCCGGCCGCGTCGGCCGCATTTTCAATGGAGGCGAAAAACACTTGAGGCCTCTGTATGTAGATTTAGGTGCATGTTGAACCCCTGGTGGTCTAAATTTCCAGAGTCCTCCACTACGGCATCTCTCATAATCATATCGTGGTTTTGGGACATTAAACCCAAACAATCGTTATAACATATTACAGTTACCATTTGCAATACTGCAACAAAAAGCACTTTTCATTAAACTTCAGCCAGGTTTGAAATGAGCCTATCATGATTAAATTGGCCACGTGCAATTGGAACACAAGACCCCTCTGGATCCAAACACTAGAATGGCACTGAGGAGCATTGAAGTGGTGCACTACTCACAGATATTTAGCTATAACTCAGTCCTTAAGGCTCTATTTTGGGCTAGTTGGTTTAACTAACCCACTAGGAAGTAAACAGATCACATGCTCTGCTCCGTTTTTTTTTTTATGTCATGCCACAAAAAGATATGCTGGTGCTAAACCGGCACTTGTACCTGTTTATTAGTAGTGAAAGGCTTGAACACTAAGAGCAATACGAAATTTCTTTCCCCAAAACAAAAAAATAAACATTTAAGTGGGATGTCAGGCTTTCACACATATGTAATATTATGATGGGCCAAGCATGTTCTAATTCCGGACATTCATTGCTTGATTTTTTTTGTCTTCAAAGAATCTTAAAAAAGAAGAAGAACTGTACTTCGCATGATCATCAGCCACGTGCATCACACGTGTTTGGCATTAATGGCAGTAGCGGGTAAGCTGGACCGCCCGTACGAAATAGGCACTTCTTTATGAATTTAACTGGCCGCCAGAAAGCGAAATGCGCAACTTAATTATCTATCGCCCATACAATCGCACGAGCCTCGTGGCCGAGCAGTGGCTGCAGTGCACCTGTATTGATGCCCTGATCTCTCGGTATGTTTCGTAAATAACGGTAATCGTCATGAGCCGCGCGACTGTCAGCGCAAGAGCAGTCACCAGGACTCACCAGCGTGTGAGACAAGCTCCGTCGGTACATTGCCTGTCATGGAGAGGTTCGTCCACCGCTTAGTGTACGAGTTGAACATCCATAGCTGTCAAGAGACCACGTGAATGCATAAGCAAACGAAATGGATGAGAGACGCTGCAAACAAAGCCATCACAGCTAGCGTTGCTTCATATATCTCCAAAAGTGTACAAAGGTATCTGACATATGACTACAAAGCGGGCTAGAGTGAATGCAATCTAGGAGCGAAGGCTAAATAAAACAACGAATATTCGCAAGAAACTGCGAAATTGGAGTGTCACTTGAACGACAGCCCGCAAAGCGCGAAGGTTCAAGCACACCGCGTATATTTACCTCCTTGAACAACGTACTGCTGTGATTTTCACCCGCGTTGTCGGGGTTGTATCCTCCGAAAGCGTACACAGTGGCACCGCTGGCAACTATTCTGTGACCACTGCGAGGTTTGGGCACGACTGAACCTGCAGCAGATGTGTGGCACGACATCAACGAACGGAAGACCCTCGAGGGCACCGAATGAATTGCCGGCCCATGCGGACGTACTCGTGAGAACAAAAGCAAGCCGTCTTACCTATGGGTTCGACCACGTCGATGGCCAGCGGACGGAAACAGAAACTCTCCGCCATGACGATCACTCCATGTGGTTATTGCGGAGCACAAAACACCTACTGCGGAGCTTGTCAGCAGAACCTGAGCTTGTGAAGTTGCTGCTGCTGCTGCGCTGCCTCCCGAGGCGCCAACCAGCTGAGCGAGTCAGAGATATTTACCGTTCATAGGTGCAATATTTGGCTCCTTAAATCATAAAAGCTGCCTCAAAAAGTTTAATATATTAAGAAGCTTAAAGCTTGCCTTGCCATCTGTCGAGCATATGTAAACTAATTATGCCAAAATTTTATATTTACAGTTGATTTGTTGTGTTTGACAGATGGTTCGCAGAGTGTGCTATTGACTTTTAGTTTGCATAAATTGTTAAAGCTCCTAAAAGGACTCTGATTTTTCTTCTACCGCCAAGGAAACGCAAAGACGTGTTCAAAACACGGACATTTGGATGCACGGAGACAGGCAAGGCATGCATGGGGTCCGAGGAGGTTATGTCAAGTTTAAATCCCCACACTAATTACACTACTGCTTATGGGAAAGGAGGAAGGGGGAGAAAGACTCATGCCCCCCGGAATATTGTTCTTAGTTTGGTGGTTTGGTTGTGTTACTTCAAAACAATTGCACAGAGAAGATAATGACCAAAAAGTGCTCATACAACCATAGTGTTTATCGCGTGATAGTCCTGACCAACGCCTCCTTTAAAATGCCTGAGGAATGGCTCGCGCTCCCAGCGGAGTTTCCTGCCGTCAGTTTTAAACAAGCTCCGAGCGGTGGCGCTCGCGACCGACACTATGATCCCGGCGACGGATCTGCAGTTGATAGGGGCGCGTCAGTCGAGAATTGTTCGAGACCTGCAACTCTGCACTATTCTTTCGGAGGCTATGCAAAGTGTTGCGTTGTTGCACCATCGCCACAAGTGACGCTAGCGACCAAGAACATTTTCAAAATGAAGAAAAAAAAGGGTGTGGCAACTGTTTTTTTTTTCTCATGCGGCAGGCATACGCGTATGTAACGTTGGTAACAGCGCCCGCGGGCAGCGCCTCTTGATGGATATCAGCTGTGCCTGTTTACCATGGTGCGTTTGCTGACCGCCGTGGAGATCGGTTGCATCACTGTTCGTCTGGTTAGTAATCATGAGAGAACAGCATGAGGTATTCGTTGTAATCCGCGAGCACTGCTGTGAACCCTGAAGCAAGTCTGCCGCAGTGGTGCTGTATAGGTGTTCTGTGGTGGTGCTGTGAACCCTGTGAACTGTGGCAGTGTAGTCGGTGCAGTGGTGATCGGTTCGTTGTCGGCAGCGCCGCAATGTCGGACACTCCCAGGGACCTGGCGATCCCCGAGGCCAACCAGTGCATGTACACGGCATGCTACTGCGAGGAGAACGTTTGGAAACTTTGCGAGCTGACGCGGGCTTGTCAGCTAGAGTTGTTGCCACACTGTTTCGTCGCCTTCGTGTCCAACCGCCGCCAAGCCGTGCCCATCTGGTGTCAGAAGAGCAGCTCGTGTGCCGACGGCATGTCATTGTGGGACTACCACGTGATCTTTCTGTACAGTCCGCCGCCAGGTCGCTGTGGACCTTCCCTCGTCTACGACTTGGACACGACGCTCAACTTCCCCGAGGAGTTCGACGTGTACGTGCGAGAGGCTTTCAGGCCGCACGCAGCCATCAACCCCGAGTTCGTGCAAATGTTCCGTGTCATCAGCGCAGCCGAATTTCTGGACAAGTTTGCTTCGGATCGCTCTCGCATGCGAACTTCAGATGGATCGTGGCTCAAACCACCTCCACCTTATCCCTGCATCCAGACCAACTCGTGTGATAACAATATAGATGATTTCATTAGCGTCGACGAAGCAGTAGGCATAGGGAAGGTCTACACGTTAGTGCAGTTTGTGCAGCGGTTTTCGTAGACGCTCGCGGGTGGTGCGGCGATCGTTTGTGCGTGTGTCCGTAAAACGAACAAATCCGCTTACTTCGAATGCTTTCATGTGACGAAGCGCCTTCCGAGTCTTTTAAGTTATGCGCAACTTAGAATAAAGAAATGCTTTTTACTATTTTCTGGATATGTTATCTTAGGCTTCTTAGCAGGTTAATTGGTGGCAATGTTACGTGTGCAACAAATGAAATCTTGCCTTTGTCCGAACGCAAGTGGGGGCATACCTTTGCTCCCACTCCCGCTCGTCACTGCATCGTTAAATGTGCAGGGTTATGGCCATGTATAGTCTTTAACGATAAGGGTGGCCGAAGTTGCATTCCAAGAGCTGGTTACTTCCCGGAAAGCTTGGGTCAACATCCTCTGAAGGCACTTAGCATCTCGCGTTCCTGTCACACTTCCCATGATGCTCCTGTTATAGCGACACTGTTCGTAGTCGAGGCGGTGATGCCTGGGCAGCACCGGCACTGGTCTGAGGGCCGTTGTAGATCGGAAACGGGTTGGTGCCACTTCTCCTGCCAGCGCTCTCTCTCCGTTCAAGCAGATAAAATGATCGGCACAGGAAAGGCTTTTTTTGTAAGCCGACAGCTTGTCCTGTTTCATCAGTGTATGCTACGTGCAGCTGATTGATTATTATTATTATTATTTTGCTGCGCTCATGAGACAACAAAAACTCCCAAACGTGCACGCCCAGCGTCCACAAGTCAACCTCCTTGGGTGCGCTCCCCCATCGTTCTCCATGCACTGGTATGCTCGTGTTTATTTTTTCACGGTGAGATTGTTGAGCAAATGCTTCCTTATTCAGCCCTTAACAAAAACAAAAAAAAGAGAGTATTTTCATCATAAAAGAGTGTGCCCCATAAACACTTGGCGGCCTACCATAAATAGACGGATATGAGCCACAGCTATTGGGTAAATGCCCCTACTTGTCGTCACTGTTCCACTGAATTCCAAGAATCCAACAGCTAGTGCCAAGAAATGGCTGCGAAAAGACCCGAAGCGAAGGAAGGCATACGCCATGCAACCATCGACGCCGTGTCTGTGGCTTAAATCGAACCTCTCTGCGCCGAGTATCTACCTAGAAACAACCTAGCTGAAGCTTAGCAACGCAGAAGCAACCAGATTAGTTTTCAGAACTTGTCAGTGTCGCTATGTCATGACTTGCACGGTCACGGTGAAAGTATGCTTGGTTTAGTGCCAACGTTGCCTTTTTTTTCCCGCACTTCAAAATTTTCATGTTACGTTCGTGCTAGTTATTTTTCCTCTCCATATGATTACCCAGCTCTCTTTCGGACTCCATGAATGTGTGTGTGTGGGGGGGGGGATCAAACTTGTGTCGATTTTTTATAAATTGCATAAGTATATTTGACGAATACAACTTGTATAATTTGTATTCGTCCCATTGGGTAAGCATTGGTGTTTTTGATTTTCAACACACTGAAGGGGATATCTGTGTGTGTGTCTGATTTATACGTGTGTACGCAGTTATGCCATTTGTGTTAATATGCACCAACTCCCCCTCAACAAGTTTTTTTATCCTGTTATCAATCCTGTTATCACGGTTACGTCTTATGGTGCTTGGTTCGCAAGTGCATAAGTGAGAAAAAAAGTACTCCAAAGGATAAAGGAAAAGTTGCACAACTTTTTATCGAATAAAGCATGTGACAGGCTGGCTTTCAAATGTGCAGTGGCGTAACCGGGCTTTTTTTTTTTTAAAAGGTGGAGGCTTGTTCTTGTTCTGAAATTGGTACAGGCCAGCCAGATGTGGTCGACTGTCATTAATGCTCTGTGCAGAAAGACATGTCAGGAGGGACACTTGTCCTGTGTGCCACCCGTTGGCTATGCTTCCGATTCCGCGCACATATGATTCCGACACAGAGTGAGAATGAGATAGGCGGTCCCCCCTCCCCCTCAAAGCCTGTGTCAGCCCCCACTTGCCTTCATTCAATGTCTGTTCACCGATCACTGATTAAGACAAATAAGTGTGACCACATTGAGCACAAATTACCAGTATTTATGCTGTTATGGGTTTTTGTGATAACAATTGACTATATAAAAGAGCCAAGAGCGGTCCCCACTCCTTGGTGTTACTTCAAGCGATCGTTCTTTCACTAAAATGAGTCGCTTGATCCGCCGCTGTCGTTTTCTGTGGGCCTGGGCCATCCAGCTAATCTTCGGAGGGCTCGAAACGCTGGGACCCAGCGAGCCGGCAACCACGAGCGGAGACCCTCGCCGAGTAACGGCAACCCCGAAGACTGCGTATAAAAACAAAAGGATAAAAGAAAGCACGAAAACTAGTCTGTGCGTGGCCATGCAATATCCGGTCCTATAAATCAATCTGGCACATGGAGGGGGGTTCTTTTCGTGAAAGATAATTGTTGAGTGCTATTTGTGGGCTGTTAAGGGGCTGCTAAGAAAGATGCAGACTGCTGGATACAATCACTCCAGTTCTCACAAACTTACAGAAATCTATTGTTTGAGAACAGTAGTAGCAGTGCCGTGGCTTCAGCTTCGACAAGATTTTTGGTGCATTGGACAGCAGATACAAGTTGCGTAAGGCAACCAATGCGCTGCTTTGATTTCATCCACAGGACTGACCGCCTCTGATTTCAGGCGCAGAACTGGTGTTTTATAGACGGCCACATTGACTTCTCTCTTGTATCTCCTGCTCTCTCACTTTCCTTTCCCACTGCAGGGTAGGCGCAGCCCTGTTTGACCTCCTTGTCTTTCTTCTATCATTATTCTCTCTCCCTTAGTCATCAGACGTGTTTCTTCAGTTCTCTGCCGTTACAAAACTGCGCATTCACTAACATTGGCGTACAATGTAAAGAAATATTAGAAGGCGAGCCTCCGGGTCTGCCTCGGTGGATCAGTGGCTAGGGTACGCAGCTGCTGATCCCAAGGTCGTGGTATAGTTCACTATAGTCAGGTGTTCCATCCCGGCGGTAGCATTTAGATGGATGTGAGGGCCCGTGTATTGTGCGATGTCAGTGCACTGAACAAAACTTCTGCCGCCAGTGTTTTCAACCAGATCGAAAGATTGGGTCCTGAAATCCATAACCTCGATTCCAGGCAAAGCTACAGGAACATAATGAATGTAATGCATTTTTCACAAACTGCCGCGTCTAGAAGCCGCGTTGTGAACTACAGAAGGTGGCGTCACATACGCCCGAACCGGGTTACTCAGCAATGCCAGCTATCGCCTGCTTATTTCGACTTGCTCAGCTCCTCTGCAGTTCCCAAAATTGGTCAGAAACAGCACCGGTGGCTCGAACAATGCTCCCGGCTGGAGTAGAGCAACAGTGCTTTTGTGGAAGGTAACGAAATTACAGCGTATTACTGAGAGAACCGCTAGACATGCTTGGCCCCGCATGCAGATTTGTCAAGGGAACAACAGGCTACGATCTGGATGCAAGTCCAAAAAAAAATGGTTTTCCCTGCCCACATCGGCTGTCTAAAGTTTATCCGGAAGAATTTCAACCAAACTGCGGACATTGCAGTCGCATGAAACTACCCAAAATTACGATCTATGGGAATGCGAGGGGAACCACCACCAAAAACGCTTCTGCCAGCCTCCTTCCTCGAGGTGTGGAAGTCGCTCCTGTCATCTGCACCGTCTTTAGGCAGAAGTGATTAACTGGGCCGAAATGGTCATGACAAGCTTTCCGCCACCACCTTTCGAACCACCGGCAAGATTAATTCAACGACCTTGTTATGCCGTTAATAAAGTTGTTTCTCCCTTTGTGGAAGGGGGAGAGTGGGATGAAAGGATAGGTGAGGAAAACGAAAAGGACAGAAACACGTGCAGTTTGCATGTGCTTCGGTTATTGTGACGTCACGGCTCGCACTAGCGTGCACTTGCTGCATCCTGGCAATTCAAAAATACAGCCAACTCTTCAGAAATACGCGAAATGAGCTCTGTTTATCGGAACAGTTGCATTTCCCGAGTAGAATTGTGAAGTTTTTGTCAACTTTTCCTATTTTTGTTCAATGTCACAGTAGATGGTCGAAATTTCCCTAGCCCTCCGCTACGGCGTCTCTCATAATCATATGTTCGTTTCGAGATTTAAAACCCCAGTTATCATTATTCGAGCTGCGCTGAAGTATGCAGCATAATACATTGGCTACGAGCAGTTTTCATGGCACCGACACAATTAAAGGAAAAAAAAATATCGAGAAAGTACAGTATCGCGTGTTTTTGTCGTGATAGCGTTAGAGCCACAACGCGCCCCTGCGCGTCCCCGTCGCACGCCCTCGGTGGAAGGCTCTGGTGGAAAAACGAAAGAATGTCGCCGAGGCTTAGTGGCACTAGTATCATCTTGAGAAGAGGAGTTCAGCCATCGTATGTTGTGCTGCTATAGCATTATTGTGTATCCTAAGATACATGACGCATTTTGATTGTATCAGAAATACAGATACTCCTCCTTCGAGACACGCCTAGATTGATTTATTGAAATAACTTTATTGATGTCATGCGGGACGCACCTTGGTGCGCCGTGGGCAACTCCCACATCGACACTGATACAAAATACTCATAGGGTATCTAAGATAGTATCTACAGTACAGGTATTTTCAAAACTGTCCAGCACGGCCCAGTATGTGTGTATACATCTTAAACTCTATGCATCTTCACATCTTGCACGTCGGAAGAGCTCCGAATAGTGATCATTGCACTAGCTGTGTTTCGTTTAACGCATTGTGTTTATTTATTTATTTTTACATACTGCAACCCGTAAGGGCTATGGCAGGAGTGGGTAACAGGCCGGTACAAAACATGGTGTAATACTTTGCGAAGGAAAGCAAAATACAAAGTGGCAATACATGGCATCACATGGTGGCATAATGAAGACATGGTGGCAAGGAAGAGAACACAGTAAACACAGTAAACAGTGAAACGGAAAAAGACAAACTGTCAAAGGGTATTTATGGAAAACAAGAATTCATTTAAGGGCAAAGAACGTATGTCACCAGATAAGTTATTCCAAAGTTCAACAGTTCGTGGAAAGAAGCTAAATTTAAACGTGTTATTACTAGCGTAGAATGGTGTCATACTCAAAGGATGGTATTGGCGTGTTGAAGAAGGTCTGGAACATGTTAAGTAGAGATCTTTTGAAAGTTTGC